TTAAGTTCGGTAAACCATCTATAAATGGGTCATTTTCCATGGCTATGTTAAAAAAAAACCAGAGGGTATATGTATATAATATATATATATTATAAATGGTTTCTTGTAGATGTTTCTCTTAAACCATGAAACCGTGAAACTGAGTAGAAAGACCGGAAATGCTTTGAAATGGTGAATGTGCTTTGAAAAGATTGGAGCTTCTCCAAGATTTGCCAAGCAGACAAAACAAGCTGCTGGTTTCTTTTGAAAGTCCTTGTTCGGGATGAAAAGGGCCGGGTCAATGAGCATATGTTGGTGATGTTTACCATCGATGGAGAAACAAATGTGAAAATATCCCGTTATCCCAGTCCGTTGGTGGCAAGAATCCTTGATGCTCACGGTGGTGATATTATTTCATTTATCAGAATTATTGTTGGGAAATATTCCCATTCTATATTCCCATGACCCAATAGTATACCAATATTTGTTGGTCAAATCCACCATTTCCTTGTGGTTTCACCTCATTTTTCACTCCATGACTAGGATGTTTCGGGCTCACAAATGTCATGTCGAAGTGGGCCTGAGGCAGGCGTCACAAGCCCAAGAGGACAGAGATCACCGAGAGGCTTGAAGCTTCAGTAGTTTAACAAAGTTACTGAAAATGGTTAATATATGGTTAATATATGGTTATTATCTGGTTAATGATGGTTAATAATGGGTGATCATGGGATTCCCATAGATTTTGGTAAATTTGATCACGACCCCTCAGCCTGTTCTCCCGAAGCCTGGTTCATCATGGTTTTCAGGGGAATCGTTGCCAAATGGATTCATTTACCCAGATTCATGGATGAGCTTTGATTTAGAATTTAGTCACTTAGTCATTAAAACTGTTTTTTTAATAGATCATTTGTCATTGTTAACGACTGATCTATTGATAATCATTAGTATTTTAATAAACGGGGTACCCCAAAATCATTTTAATCATCCAAAATGGTTCGTTAGACATGGGAAAACCACTAAATGCTTTGGGGGAAAAACACTCTCTTAGTAAACCTCCATATATCCAATAGTGATGTAACAGCTAGCTATGGAAGCCATGGCATTGAAGTAGATGATTTACCGGTTTGCAAAATTCATGCTGATGTTGCATAGTTATGTAAACGTTTACCGGAGTTTAACCACTGGTAATTAGCCCCACCTCACGACGTCACCACGGAATGAGGGTTTTCTTGGGATAATCCTCCCTACAAGGTGGTGCCCCCCAGTTGCAAGTTGGTTTATAAACCATAGTCCTGATTGGTGGAATATGTTTTTTTTCCATTTCATATATGGGAGAATCCTTCCCATTGACTAATATTTTTCAGAGGGGTAGGTATACCACCAACCAGCTACCATAAACCAAAGTTATTGGAGTTACTGGCACCAACTTAGCTAAGTATGGGGCACCACCTTGTAAAATGTTCTACAAATGGATGCAAATGGGAGGATTTTTCCAGGCTTTTCTCGACACAGCCATGGCTCTTCCGCAAGTCCGAATCGCGATCGGCTCCAGCTTTCAACTGGTGAGATCCAGTTTGAGGAGTTAGACTTGCTCTGAAAAAGGCTGAAAATGACCGATGTATAGATGATTTACCCATCAGAAATGGTGACTTCAAAATTTCCATGTCGCAAACTGTATCACATTACCAGAGGGAAAAAGATATGTTACAACAAAAGTAGATGCGAACCCAACACGACAACACGTTGTCATCCAATGGCCCAGCAATTCCCGCGCAAAAAGAACTGCATCATCTGTCCTAATCATTACCCATTCGACATGGTTGACTTAGGTAGAAATTAAGTACATAGATATCCAAGAAAATAAACAAAGAAAAATCACCATAGATCTTCGATAAATCTATAACTTGAAAAATCATCGATCGCCGCCGGGCCATGAAGCGGTTGCATCATCTTGGGCGACATCTCGACATCTCGAGCGTGCGACCTCAGGCAGAAAAACCGTGGCCATAAACGGATGAGGATGGCCAGTACTTCCAAAATAATTCCAGAAAGAATCCGAATGATAACTCGACATTTCCGAAACATCCGAATTTTAGCTGAATTCATGGTTTTCTTCTGGTTTTCCCCTGGTTTTCCCATGGTTTTCCCATGGCTTCCACCAGGCCACAGCCTCCGCGGCCGGCAAAGTGGGGCACTTTTTGGCGGCGCCCAACGGCTTCGCCGTGGTGGGCGCCTCGGCGGAGCGGCAGAAGTTCGGCAACAAGGCGCGGAGCTCGCGATGGCGCCACGGTGTTTATAGTGATTTAATGGGATTTATAGTGATTAAATCATTAATTTATAATTTTTTTTAAAGAATTTTATAATAATTTAATGGACTATTAATGGGATATACCCTCTGGTAAACGTTTACAGTTTGCGAACTTGAAGCCATGGCCATAGAGAAATCGTTGATTTCCCCAGCTACAAAATGGTGATTTTCCAGTTCGTTATGTAAACGTTTACCAGAGGGTATATCAAATAATGCTGGTTGGTGGTTTCAAACATGTTTTCCATTTCATATATGGGATGTCATCCTTCCCATTGACAACCTCATATTTTTCAAGATGGTTATTGCACCACCAACCAGGATGGTTTATCGAAATCCTGCACCAGCTGATAGGTGGCAAACAGCCCATTAGGCGTGGCAAACATCCCATGATTAATAGGCTTTCAACCATCCAATCATGGTGATGCAGGATTTCGCTGGCCCATCCACTGTATCGATATCTGGTGGATGATGATCAATTGTTCATAATAGTTCATGTTAATGATGGTGGATGGTGGATAATCAATGGAGAACTCACATAACTATGGTTTTTTCGTAGTAGAATAGGATTAATTCAGTAGATACATGAATGATATGGTTTGTTATATCCCCATATTTGTTGCTTATGTAAATCACATTAAATCCATTGCCCTCTGGTAAACATACAAAACACTATGGAACATCACCATTTTTGATGGCTAATTCCACGAAGTGAATGGCCATGTTCAATAGCTATGTTAGTTTACCAGGGGGTATATTAGACGAATAGTATTAATGTGGGTGAAACAATGTCATAAACCACCCATTTGGGAATGGTAAACATACCACCTATAAAAATGGTGATGACTTGGGGATTGTTTATTATTGTGTTACCCACATTGATGTCAACGGTATAGCATTTTGTAGATATTCAGCATACTCGTATTATAATCGTTACAATGGCGTGGTATCAAACAGCCGCAATTGCGGTGCACGGTTGTGATACCCTCAGGTCATCAGTTTTTTGCAAATCAACACTGTAAAGAATGGAAATCCCATTATCATCATCCCATTATAATCATCCCATTATAATCATCCCATTATCATCATCCCATTATAATCATCCCATTATAATCATCCCATTTTAATAATCCCATCATAATCATCCCATTATAATCACCCCATTATAATCACCCATGTTATAATCATCCCATTATGATCATCCCATTATAATCATCCCATTATAATCATCCATGTTATAATCATCCCATTTTGATCACCCCATTACAATCATCCCATTATAATCATCCCATTATAATCATCCGATTATAATTCCCATTATAATCGTCCCATTTTAATCATCCATATTATAATCATCTCATTTTAATCATCCATATTATAATCATCCCATTATAATCATCCATATTATAATCATCCCATTATAATCATCCCATTTTAATCATCCCATTATAATCATCCCATTATAATTATCCCATGATCCCATTATAATCATTCTATTATCATCACTCCATTATAATCATCCCATTGTCATCATCCCATTATCATCATCCCATTATAATCATCCCATTTTAATCATCCCATTACAATCATTCCATTATAATCATCCCATTATAATCATCCCATTATAATCATCCCATTATAATTCCCCTCATAATCAAATACCCCTATAATCATCCCTCATCATCACCCCTATTAATAAGAGGGCGGCACCCCGTGGGGGAGTGAATTTTCATTAAAAATGATGATAAAACACTGTAAATACCGATGTTTTATGCATTTGGAGGGTCTAAAACCCTAGTAAAACACACTTTTTTCATCATGATCTTGACATGAGATATACAAAAACATTGGCAGGCACCAAAAAAACCAAAAAAAACAAACCACTAGATGCACCAAACATCGACAGGCACCAAAAAAAACAAAAAAAACAAAAATTCCAGCAACTACTCAGAAGTGGACCCATAGTTCCTGGAAATTTTAGTTTTTTTGTTTTTTTTGGTGCCTGTGCAGGTTTGGTGCATCTAGTGGTTTGGTTTTTTTGTTTTTTTTGGTGCCTGTGCAGGTTTGGTGACTCTGACTTCACAAAACATTGACAGGCACCAAAAAAAACAAAAAAAACAAACCACTAGATGCACCAAACATCGGCAGGCACCAAACAAACCAAAAAAAACAAACATTCCAGCAACTACTCAGAAGTGGACCCATAGTTCCTGGAAATTTTAATTCTTTTGGTTTTTTTGGTGCCTGTGCAGGTTTGGTGCATCTAGTGGTTTGTTTTTTTTTGGTTTTTTTGGTGCCTGTGCAGGTTTGGTGACTCTGACTTCACAAAACATTGACAGGCACCAAAAAAAACAAAAAAACCAAACCACTAGATGCACCAAACCTGCACAGGCACCAAAAAAAACCAAAAAAAACAAAATTTCCAGCAACTACCCAGAAGTGGGCCCATAGTTCCTGGAAATTTTGGTTTTTTTGGTTTTTTTGGTGCCTGTCGATGCTTCCTCAACTTTCACTTTGGTTTTTTTGGTTTTTTGGTGCCTGCCAATGTTTTGGAAACATTGAGCTAACTTCGCTTTTGGGGCAAGCTTTCCGAATAGTTCGGAATGACTTTGAATATAATGTTCGGACTTAACGTCCGCAGCGTTCGGAGTGCCTTGGTGAGCAGCTGTTCCAATCAAGGCTAGCTAGGAAATAGGAAGTAGTAGAACTAGCAACTATGATGGATAGCTCCGAAATTTCCCTTGAACATGCCCTCAACGCAACCAATGCGCTGTATCTCCGGAGTCTGAGCAAACCTAATGTGGTGGAGTTACCACCTGGGGTTGTAAAACCATCAGACTTGCCCTTGGAGATTGTGAAGGATGATGCGAAAGTCAAGCATGTCTTTGATGTGATTGGTGAGGTAGATTTCCCTGAGGCAAAGCGCAATGAGGTCACAAACGCTTGCGTGGAAGGTAGGTTTCATGACTTGCCAGAACCCTTTTGCCTGAAAAACTCGCCGGGTATGCAGTTTGAATATCAACTTGTCGCATTGCCTGCTCCGAATCGAAAGCACTTTGTCTTGAAGCATGTGATCTTCCCTTGTCTTGTCAAGACCGACTTCGTCAAGTCCCTTTGTTATGGTGAATGTCATGGAGTGATGTGGCATGGCAATGCGAAAAACACCAAAAAGGCACTCCACTACATGATGGAAAAAATGGGAGGTTTTCAAGTCCAAATGTATTCCCTTCAACCAGCAGGTGGAAACAGCGCAGAGGGCAAGGTGAACTTCTACACTGGGCTTAATGATGATGATATCGATGCAGGCTTCGACTACATCGAAAAACATGGTCCCCGCACCCACCACAGCAACACACAGTTGCTTACCTATCCAATAGCTAAACTGACATTTTTCACTTAGTTTTGGATTTGGCCTTTTTGTCTTAACTGGTTTTTCTTGACTTACAACAAGTGTCCTGGAGACACTGTTTTTTCGATAAAAAACGGGTTGCTAAGGACACTTGTTAAAAATCAGTTCCAAGATGTTCAAAGTGGTAAATTACCAGGCTACACTTTCAACTTTCATGTTTTTGAACCGCCTTTATAACCCCACATTTGTTTGAAAGGGAACCCGCTAGTAAGGTTGCGTTGGATCTCAAAGCAGTTTATTTCAGAGGACAGCCCAGTTAGCAAATGGCCGGAACGTCTGATCAAAGAGGCCTTGCGCAACCTCATGAATGATGGTGTTTTGGCCTTACCTGTTCATGACTTTCCTCTTACCTTGGTTGATGTTGAGCCTGGAGTCCTGATGATCTTGGAGAAGCTCTTCCCTTCTTTCACTGACAAAGCTCTTGGTATGCATGGAGTCCCAAATGTCGGAAAAACACCCTTGGGTAGAACTATTGCTATGGCAATGTCTAGGTACTGGATCCGAAAGTTGAAATCCAACCATATCCCAGGATTCCGTGAAGCCAGTGAATTTGATTTCTTTAGAGGTGAGGCTGGTCGTCCAGAGCGTCCAGACATTTTTGATGATGGGTCATTGCCAGAACAACCCATGAGAAAGTTGAAGGGCTTTTGCGATGTAGGAAACACAGTCCTCACCAAAGAGCGGTGGGGTGCTGCAAAGTTCCCCCAGGGCCAACCCCGCCTTTACATCTCCAATGATGTTGATCTTAGCGCCGAACCATCCGGTAGATCCATGGTGATCACCCACATTCAATTCATGCAGATGCTTGAGCCAGCTTGGATGAAAGGGTCTTGTTTGAGTGACATCAAGGCTGTGCTCAAACGAACTTGCATCATCATCATCACAGACAGTTTCATCTACTACAGGCCTGCTACAGAGGCAGAGGTTTGTGTAGAATGTATCAAGCTCAATGATGCCAAGTCCTTGCTTCGTAGGTCTGGTGGGGTGAAGTACATGGCCTATAGGAAAGGAAACCGTGATCTTTCTGAAGACCATCACAAACATCTTCAGTGGGAAGAAGCCTGGATGAGGAGCATCATGGACAACAAAGGTGAAAACAAACCGCCTATGCCCACAGAAACTTCCATCACTTCTCCTTTCTCAGGCAAGACCAATGTTTCTATCCAAGTTCATCTTGAAGAATCTGGCCCCGCACCAGCCATCAAACGAGAAAGCTCCTTCTTTCGCCAGACTTTGCGTGATGGCATCCCTGGTGCTTGCATTGACTTGGACATGTCCCCTCCCAAGAAGGCAAGAAAGGTCCCAGAATCCTTGCCCGCTATCAAGGAGGAAACTCACGCAACCGCAACCAGACCAATGAACTATGGCCTCATTGATCTAGTGTCTGAAGATGAGGATGAACCTCCCACCAATCCCCCTTGGAGATTGCAGGCATGGAAATGATTGAGAATGAAGAGGATGTCTTCAACCATGGTTATGGTGTAGATGGTGGTGATTCCTCCTGAGCTCTTCTAAGTGGGCTTTCTTAGGTCAAAGTATACAGATGTAAGTCCGGCGGTTTTGAACACTACATGCCTGAACACTTCCCGACCCAAACACAGGAAAATAGAATGCGTATGCGTAGCTTTTCTTTTCTGCTAGTGTGCTGTGTTGCCTGCTTTGCTAGTATGACGCATGACTGTGCATTGCAACTTGCGGCAAACTCAGCAAATTTCTGTATTTAATTCCGTAGCAGTTTGTCCTGGTGTAGTTTCCGTAGGGTGCTTTCACAATGCTTGTTAAGAAACGTCCAGCCACCCAAATGTCGGAGAAGCCTATGCACACGAGTCCCTTGTCATTCTGTACCTGTGGTTCTTCGTGGAAAATGGCTCCTCGACTCCTCATCATACAATCTCAGCTGTCTCCTTCGATCTCATTGGGAGGAATGAGGTAGTGGTAGAAACAAAAAGGTGCCCTCAGTGCAAAATGATCTATGGACCAAACTTCCGCAACCGCGATGTGCAATTGATCAACACAACCAAGATCTCGGACATGGCCTTGGACGAAGTTTTGTTCATCAACATGAAGGTTGGCTTCACAATCAGGTTCTTGAAGTACCATGCCTACTTGTTCTTTAGATGTTGCAGCACTGGTAGGGGAGTTCACTTTGCATATGAACAAACCTTCTTCGACAATCTTGCTGATGAGACCCCTCCTCTCCACACAAAGTTCCGAGAACTCTACTATGATGGGCTCTTCTACTACATGGTGGGTTTGGAATGGGAAGTGCTTGGCAAACACACAAGCATAGTTATTGGGAAAGAAATCGACGAAAGCACCTTGATGACATATGATGCTCATTGCCATGAACATCTCCTACCTCCCTTGCGCCCCAAGAAAGTCAGCGGTGTGGTTGCAGATGGTCATCACAAAGTCTTAGTGAAAACGTGTGGAAACCAAACTCCAACAAACAAGAATCGCGTTGGTCGACCCCGTGATGATGGCAATCAAAAACGTGGTCATGGTCATGGTTGGTTCATGGTGGTTGACCCAGTCTCAGGCCGAATCCTTGGAGTCACTAGTCAAGATGAACCTGAAGGAAACAAAGTTGTCACACAGTCCTTGCTGAAAATCTTGCCCCAGTACCCCAACATTGATCTCCTTGTCATGGACCGAGCCTGCCACTACATGCCATCGGCTGTCAAGACACCAGGACTGGAGCAGCTGAAGTACTTTAGTTTGGACAGGTTCCACTCTTATGGTCACACCAAGAACTGCCCATGCAACCCCCGATCCAAGACCCGCCTCAAGAAACGCATCAAGAACTTGAACACCTCCATAGCTGAGCAAACCTTTTCTTGGTTTAGAGGATACAGCAAAGTCTTGAATGACATGCGTCCCCTTCGGCATCGATTTGCAGTACTCTTGTTCTGCAAACAGCACAATGATCTGGTAGCTTGCAGTGACACGTACCACCTCAACCAGTACAAGGTCTACAAGGGCAAAGGAGCAACCAAACCGTATGCTTGCAACAAAGTGAAGGGCAAGAAAACTATGAAACCAGGATCAATGAAGGTCATGAAAGCGATGAAGGTTATGAAGTCCATGAAGGTGATGAAAGTGATGAAGTCCATGAAGTGAGAGAGAACCAAACATAGATATATGGTATACTAAGATTTTGTGTATAGTAGACCATCAGGCCTGGAAGTTGCAATAAGGGCCTGCCTGCCATGATCATGAAGGGAAACATGTTGGGGGAGTGATTTTTGCTCTAAAATAACGTTTTAAGCCCCTTCTAGTCACAAAACACTGTAAATACCAGTATTTTTGACCATTTTTTGAGCAAAAATCACTCCCCCATGAGGGGCCGTTCTGTATTATATTCATCCCATTATAATCATCCCATTATAATCATCCCATTATAATCATCCATATTTTAATCATCCCATTATAACCATCCCATTATAATCATCCATATTATCATCATCCCATTATAATCATCCATATTATAATCATCCCATTATCATCATCCCATTATAATCATCCCATTATAATCATCCCATTTTAATCAGCCCATTCTAATCATTCCATCAGAATCATCCCATTATAATCATTCCATATTATAATCATCCCATTATAATAGTGGAAATCCCATATTTTGAATCTTGCATCTACCCAACTGGTGGATCAACCATCCAGAGCATAGGGAATTCATGAGGGAGATTTTGTGTAGGGATGCAAGTTTTAATGTGATGCAACCCCCGAAGTGTAAGCAGTAATTTGGATATTGCTTTTTGGTATTTATCATTCTGAGTATCTTGTTTACTGATATTACTGCTTACATTCGCGTCATTAGTCTTGATAGGGTGAGTCATGCGATGGAGTTGATATTGGGGCATGTGTTTATCTTCGTAGTGTTTTCATTTCATAGGGATATTTAGTCTTTGACATTATGATGATTATAACATATATGTTTAGTAAAATATAATAATATCATTCCCATATTATAATGATGATATCTTATTTTTCAAGCTATGATTACTATCATTAAATATGGGCACATACCAGGGATATGTATTTGCCCGTTTCGACCTGGCATTTGCTCTTATAATCTCTACTGCTATGTGTTATTCAGTATTTTGCTATCCTGATAAACAACGGGATTTTGGGGTATCCTATTTTGCTGGATGGATGAATTGGAGAAGGTGACCCACTGGGGCGACAATGAAGTGGAGGTTTTGGGAAGTATGAGATATCCAGCTATGGATGTCCCACAAGTTTTTAATCGGTGAAAGGCTTATGCAACCACATATAGATGACCTAATCAGCATTTACCAACAACAAATGGGATGTCATTGCCACATGTTGCAAACTGTTGACTAGGCAGGAAGTATAGTTTGTCGAAAATTGGTCGACACTGGGAACTGGGAAAGTTATGTTCTCTTCATTCCTCCATGTTCTGCTTCCTCATATGAACATAGTTGAATAAATGGGCAGATATTATATCATACATATATACATACACATATACATATATACACATATACATATATACATATATACATTTATACATTTATACATATATACAGTTACATATATATATATCCATATATATATATATCCATTTATACATATATATCCATATATATATATCCATACATATATCCATACATATATCCATATATATATATATCCATACATATATACATATATATATATATCCATATATATATATCCATATATATATATCCATATATATATATATACATACATATACATGTATATATATATATCCATACATATATACATATATTTATATATATTTACATATATATATATATATCCATATATATATCCATACATATATATATATAAATATCCCAAGTGAGATGTTTGGTGTAGCTGGGATTTCCACATCACCTCTAACAGCCGCAGGTCTTGCGTTGTTACATGCAACACGGCCTCAGTGCGGTGCCCGTGAGCGTCAGTCAGAAGGTCATTGAAGGTGGGTGATTGAGAGATACCTGAGAGGAAAATCACTATTTGAATAGGTAAATCAACTTATAAATGGGTTACTTTCTATACCTAGGATACTGTGAATGGAAATTGGCAGGTGGTGGATGTGAAACAGTTTGCTATGGAAAATCACTATTTTTATGGGTAAACTATTTGTAAATGGGATATTTTCCCGTAGCTACTCTATGTTTAGCAAGCAGATAGACTGCAATATAGTGGGAAACAATTGGTTGGTTAGTGTTACAATGACAATAAATGGGTGGTTGATGTTACAATCAATCATGTTAACAAGCAGGTTTTTTGTGGGGACAGTGTCATTGTGTGGAATCCAACGAACTAATGCAATTTAAATGTTTACTTGCACCTACACAATGAGGATATATGACGCATATACGATGGCTTTTTGAGATATAATTGGGATATAGTAAGATTTTATCATGGGGATATAGCTAATCAACTAACTAGATTAGATTGATGGTAAATTGGTCAAAAAAGAATGTGTTGACCAACAAAAACCATGGTATAACGCCAAGCATTTGGTGGAGAGATGGTGGAATATGTGGCTGCGCCACTCTTTTCAAACAAACCCCACTACCAAAATGAATATTGGAAGAAGATATCTCTCCAATTCCCATTTGTACATACTTAAAAGTACCGGAAGGATTTTACCCAAGTGAAAATACCAGAGGTAGAGAGAGAGGTAGAGAGATGATTTTCCAATGATTGGATACTTGGAGCATCCCATCGATTCACAAGTTTTCTGACCCCTGGTGAATGAGTCCCCTTTTTTCGACGACTAGTGGACTCGATGAATGGGATAATCCGACTCAAATGTCAAATGTCTGTCAAAATTCAGCTCATTAACTCATAGTCTTGGTGATGTTGCACCATATTACGTTGATATTACCATAAAATGGTTGCTTTCGTGCCCATTTTTGTTGGTGATATCCCCAAGTATCCCTAGTGTTGTTGCTTATTTCACCACTATACAGGCCTGCCGCAACCTATTATGGGCAGGTGGTGTCACAAAGGGGGGAAGTTGATTCTTTACTTCCCAATTGTCCCCCCTTTTTATTTGCGGTGTTGGGAGCAAAACCTATATATCTCATATTTATATATATATGTATATCATCATCGTCATCATCATCATCATCATCAAACCTAAAAACAAGCTAGAAAAAGGCTTTTGAAATTTTTTGAGTTTTTTTCATTTTGATGTCTTTCTTGTGATTGTTTCATGTTTTAATCACAGTTTACCATAATATTACCTAAATATACCCTAATATTTTGACTTATATCGCCATTGAAGACCACAACATAAATATATTCATAGAAGCCCACCTCTGTAGATTTCCACACCGCTGGAATAGAAATATCAGTTACATAGAGTTTTGTTTCCTCTGGTGTTTCTGAGTTTTCGTTTAACTCCACTGAAAAGTCAGATGAAGATTTTGATTGAGCATTGCGATACTTACTATCTACAAAAATAGTTTTATATGTTTATCTATTACTCATGACTCATGATTGGATCTATTATTAGAAATGATTTTTATCAAACATTAATATAAAAATAAATGATTGGAGTTGTAGCAGGAGTTGGAAGAATAGCAATGACTAATGGATTGAGACAGGTGGGAAGGCAGTTTGGGAGAGAGGTTGTTCAGAGAATTATGGGAGGTGAAGCAATAGAAACTGTATTAACAAGAGAAGAGAAGAGATGAGATTATTCGCAAAAAGAATAGGTAGAGTAGCATTTGATGAATTAATGCGTCAAGGAAGAGAAGAGTTGATGAACGACACGGACAAGAAACAAAGAGACTTAGATGAGAAGATGAACAACTTTGCAAGAAATCTTAATGAGCAATTCAGACAAAATACAACACTGTATAAAGAAGAAAGGAACATAGCCAACACAAAAGCAACAGAAGACAGACACGGATTGACAAATGCATACAGAAGCCCATCGGGATTATATAAGACAGGCAAGACACTTTATTTATATATCAGGAACGGGTGGAAAAGATGGAAGTATAAACAGAGACATTTTAGATTATTTATTACGGTTACCTACCAGAAATGCACACAACACCGAAAATATAAAGATGTGATTAATGAACTCAAAAAATCACCAGAAATAACACGTTTGGTGGATTATGACGATGGCCATGTGCATATGGTTTTAGACAATAAAAAACAATTTTCTTTGTTTTTTCATTTTTCCATTTTTTTCATATTATATCATTTTCCTTCGGTTTTGTTCGTTTTTATCATCTTACTGTTGGTTAGAGATTTGTTTCCGATCTAAACCCCTCCGATTCAGGGTACTTAGTAAGGTTAGTGATTTTGCCAAGTGTCTGCAAAACACGCCCCATGGGTCTACCACCACGACTACCACCACCACCACTACCGCCACAGCTGGTCAGTTGTGAACTGCTTGCAGACCTCCTCCACTATGGTTTGGCGACAGAGAGCCGTAAAGTTCATCGGCAGCAAATATAAAGCACACACTGTGTTGCCAATAACAGGGTACAGAATGTCCAATCAAATGGATCCATGTTTTCGTGGGAGACCAGCTTGTTTGCAGAGAACGGCCCTTTTGATCCGTATGAGTATGAACCGTGGTCCATGTCGATGGTGTACATGAAAACCATGGATTCCCTTCTGCATATTCGCCATTCCAGTTCTGAAGCACCAACAGAATACCATTCCCCATCAATGGCGCATATAATCCATAAGCACCACATCGAACCACCGACTAGCGCATAGAGGCACTCACCCACCTTGACGAACAATGAGGATCTGACACCCGGAGGTGAGAAACAATGCAAGGACAACATCATGGCACTACCCATCCTCGAATGATCAGCTGTCACAGTTTGACCTCTGGTAGGAATTCGAGCCCAAACTAAAATCACCACTGATAAGACACCATTTTTTTAGATTTACAGTCTCCACCGGTCGCGCAGCCACAGCCCTGCACATAGAGAAACGGTCCTTTGGAACTGTTCTGTGCGGACGGCTGCGCGTATAAAGGACGCCTGCGAGTTTACTTGCACCCGCTGCTCGCAGCGGGTGCCTTCATGGTAGCATCTTGGCTCGCGAAGATGTTCTGGTACACAGAAATTTGGTTTGCCCGGGGTTTGGCGTCATTTTGGGGGGTTGTGTTGCGCATCCTGGACTAGTGTGCCATTAATGTACTTGAGTTTGTCCATGGAAATGCCAAGGTCCTTCTGCTGCGGAAGCGGCATTTTACGCATCTGTGGTGCGTGGCAGCCTCCTTCCTGGAGGCCTTGCTGGCATCGAGCTGCGCCTTGGAAGAATCAGCTCGGGTGAGTTGTTGACAGACAGCTTTTCATTCCGGTGTTTGTTGGATGCTTGAGTCTTCAGTGCAGGGAAGTTTTCAAGTTGCAGTGTCCCTGCGAGCAGCTCATGACCGCAGGGGGCAGATCATTCAAGATGTTTCCGCTTACTTTCCTATTTGCTTTGAGCTTTCCCCTGGCTTTCCCACTGTGCTCCACCCCTTTCCGCCACCCCTGGCAGCCCCCAAGCTTGGGCCTTGCCGTGGAAGCTCATTGGTGGTCTCCGTTTTTTCGCTTTTTGGGTGCGACCGCCATGGTTTGGGTCTTTCCTTGTGGACTGGTGTTGTACAGATAGCCGTGCTCCGGGCCGGCACGCGCTTAGGCACGCCAATTCTGTTGTCCCTAGGTTTCTGGTTCGCTCATCTTGCCCCTTTGCTGCCAGCCCTCCCACGTGCATGAGCCACGTGAACCATCACCCTAGGAGGGATTTCTATTTTTGGTAGGCAGGTCAATAGTGAGATGGGACTTAGGCTTCGAATTGTTCCAAATTCATTATTCAATATCCTTGCCTTTGATGGATTACCTTTTTTACCACCTGGCACGAGTTATTTCTTTGTCAAGGGTTTACATCAAGAGCTGATCTTTTTGAGGATACCCAAATCTCACCAACAGCTGCTAAAAGGAAAAAGGAAGTGGAAACTGGAAACCACACCAAAGCCAACACATTTTTTGATGAAATCCAAGATAGCGCAAGACGTACCGATTAATTAAGTAACACAATTTAAAGGCAAACTGTCTACACCAACAGTCAGCACTACTCGCGATACCAGGCATCACCTTCACCAGCCTATGTCTGGTGCCGGTCACGTTTGTGACCCAGCAGGGGCTGAGCCACTTGGCCATGACCAAGTCGCCGGGACCAATTTTTCAGCCGATGTGACTTGCAATTCTGCATGGATTTGACTCATTGTAGAATCTTGCAATTCAGTGCTTCTGAATCCCTTTACATTGTGGATCGAGGTGCGCGGGTGCTCATGATCAACCGCGCTGCCGGAGCTCTTGGATGTTTTCTGGGGCTGGCAGTTACTGTCATTGTACCTGCATGGCACCCGTGCTCTGGCTGAATTGGGGGCAAGTTGGCAGTGCCAGGTTGGGAAAGGACGGACAGGATGCACAAGTCCAGAGGAATTGAGAGGAGAAAGAGTGATCCAGCTGTATTACTGCATGTGCTGCATATCCATGCTATTGGGTGCACCTCGCTGTTTTTGATTTGATGTTCGTATTACGAGGCTCCCTGGATATCAATATGATCCGAAAGATCAGTGTTAGCCTGGCCGGGGGTCATGTGCACATGTATGAAGAGGATCGGCCCCCGGATCCTGGTTTACAACCTTCAAATTTTGATAACTCGTCATTGTTTTTTTGTTCCATGATGTTGGTGTGCTCCAGTTCCAGCCATGTGGGGCCGGGCCCGCATGAATATTGGCATAACTTGACAGGATGTTGGTTAAATGAATGGTTGGAGGGCCAAACATGGAGCGACTTTTTAGAATCACCAGTGGTGTCCGGTGGTAGTCGTAGGCTTTAAGCCCTCCGAGTGTCAACCCTGGCGTGAGGCAGAGAAGCTGCTTTCGCAAGCTCTTTGGGTCCATGCGCTTCAAGACCGCTTTTCCTCGGGATGATATACATATAGGAGCGGACCACTTTTGGAAGTTGCGATGTCGAAAAAGTGCACGCCGTTGTGGCGCGAAGCACATTTTGAAGTCAAAAGTGTTAAAAACTGAGGGTCTCGGACCACTTTTGGAGGTTCGGATGTCGAAAAAGTGTCGAAAAAGTGCACGCCGTTGTGGCGCGAAGCACATTTCGAAGTCAAAAGTGTAAAAAAACTGAGGGTTTTGAGCCTTTTTTGACGTGAAGATGTCGAAAAAGTAGACACTGATTAACTTAACTAACTTGACTAACTTAACTAACATCACTAACTTAACTACCCTAACTTCGACGACAACAGCAACAACAACAACAACAACACCAACCACAACAACAACAACAACTACTACTACTACTACAACTACTACTACTACTACTACTACTACAACTACAACTACAACAACTACACAACAACTACAACTAGAACTACAACTACAACAGCTACAACAACAACAACAACAGCAACAACAACAACAGCAGCAACAACAACTACAACTACAACTACAACTACAACTACAACTACAACTACACAACAACTACAACTAGAACTACAACTACAACAACTACAGCTACAACAACAACAACAACAACTACTACTACTACTACCAGCAACAACAACCTCTACACTACAACAACTACTCTCTACGACACTAACACAACAACTACAACCACACACAACCTACAACTACAACAACTACAACTACAACTAACACAACAACTACAACCTAGAACTACAAACTACCAACAACTACAGCTACACAACAACAACAACAACTACTACTACTACTACTACTCTACAAGGAACAACCACACTACTACACTACAACACTACTCTAAACTACTACAACTACACAACAACTACACCACACAACAACTACACTACAACAACTACACGACACTACAAAACAACTACAGCTACAACTATATGACTACAACTACACTACACTAATTACATTACACCACAACTACAACTCCACTACGCTACAACTACAACTACAGTTGCAGTACATCACACTACATCCAGCAGTTGTGGGTGAGGTGACCACTGCAAACATTGCAACCATTCCAGCAAACACAACTCCAACCACCTTTCGGTCAATCAGTGGCTTCGCTCTGCCATCCCTGATTCACAACAACCAACTTCTCCTATAGGTTTCCTATTTTTGAAACTTCCGCCACCGCCTTGTGCGGTACTACTGGTTTTTATATATATATATGTATATCATCATCATCATCATCATCATCATTGTCTCTGGTTAACTCCCCATGTTTCATGTCCATTTTCCGATGATACCCCCGCAAAAGAGGAAAAGGGTAGGAATTCAAATCTCACATCAGCACCTTCGTCGTGAAATTTGCGATTACCTCATCGCGATGGAGGAGATCTTTGCTCCGCACTTTGACAGTCGTTGGCCCACTTATGCTGCTTATGTCCAGAACATGCGACAAGACGGTTCTTGGGGCGACGACCTGACATTGACTGCAGCAGCCCACTTGCTATTGAAGCCCATTAGAATCGTGAGTGATCTTGATATCGAAGAGTTCCGGGAGTTTCACCCACCGTCCAGCATCTCCCCCGAATGTAGGGGCCCTTGTATCACCTTGGCTTACCTCCAATTCTCCCACTATGAGGCTACGGAGCAGGTGGAGAGAAACATGAAGGTGAAGGAAGTGGCACCTCGCAGCTTCAAACCAAGCAAAAAGAAGACCGAGCTGGAAGCGCGGGTGCGGAGAGTGAAATTTGAATTTCACATTTGTGGCCAGTGATGACTGGCATCGTGGTGTCGTGGCCAGGGGACTTAGATTCGAATTTAATCTTGCGGTAGCAGGGCGTGGAAGATTCAATACGAGAGGGATGAAATTCAAATTTAACCCCTGCATAAATTTGATTTCCACCTTCATGGGCAAAAGGGGCCGTGATACTTGAGGGATCCTCTCACTTGGTGATTAAATAGTGATTACCCTCTGGTAAACATACAAAAACATTGGAAAATCACAATTTTGTAGCTGGGTGAATCAAGGATTTCTCAATGGCCATGGCTTCAAGTTCGCAAACTGTTAGTCATTACCAGAGGCCATGCTAACCTTGGTTCCCTCAAGTAGATTTTCCCATGAACAATCCCTTCCCACGTTGCAAGATTGACAGTTGAGATGATCCTCCAAGTATTTTGCGCATGTTAACTGATATCATATGCCCATGATATTCCCATGATATCCCATGATATTCCCATGATATCCCATGATATCCCCATTACGGTTCATTATAATCTCCATATTTGCTGTGAAATCCTGATCCTTCGACAGGTCTACCGTGCGTGTCCTCCCTGAAAGACTTGGGACGCGATGCTTGTGACTACGGCGTGTCCGTCATCACTCCTCCCAAGGTGGCAAAAAAGGAATCCTCGTGCCATTCGATGCCCTGTTGATGGGTTAAGATATGAAGGTTTGGTTGGTGGTTTGGAACATTTTTCCATATATGGGATAATCCTTCCATTGACGAACTCATAGTTTTCAAGGTGGTTAAAAACACCAACCAGAAGGTTATTGTAACACATATTATCATATATTAACCTTCAATTGTGGATCATTGTGACAGTGAGCTTCATATATGCTAATAACTAGATGTGATGAAGGTTGTATTAATAATCATAATCATTAGTAACCACCCACAATCCCATCAATTCTCATATGATGATGGGTACTTACATGATAGTTAATTAATCATGTATGATTATATTAATCCATCAACAGGAGAATACTGACCTCATGATTGTTAATAATTGTTAGTACATCATCTTGCAATACGGATTGTAAGCTATGATCGGTTATTATTTCAATAATTCATATAATCTCCAAGAATTGCGACAAAGGAACGATAGTATAATTATATATATACCTGTTATTGGTTGTTATTGGTTATTCTTCCAGCAACTTTAGGGATACAAATTTACCAGGCAGAATTTCATGGGATGGAAAAACATGGTATGACCAGAGGGTTCTGAACACTGCGCATTTGCTACGAATAATTGGGCGACGTATTTGTTTATGGAATCAAAATGGTGGAGTTCCCTGGTGAAACGAGAACCAACTATAAATAGAACAATCTATGAATGGAAGTAATTGAAAATCGTTGATTCACACCTTTCAAACTACCCTCTAGAATTCAATTACCCTCTAATACTAATGGTTTTTTGGAAAACCCACCATTTCTAGATGGCCCACTCCCACGACGGCTTCATCGATCATCCCCAGCTTGGGGATGATCGATGAATTAGCGACCGGTATGTATATATCCAGGTGTATCCCATTTGTTTTACATCCCATAGTCTATCCCGTGATATACCTCATTGTACGCATCTGGACATATACCTTTCTTATTTGTTAATTTTGTTATATATCTCCCATGAAAATAGACATTTCCCCGTTTTTATCCAGAAAAAGGTGACACATATTTTCCCAGGATCTCAGCACCAGGTGACCCTGCAACTCCTGGATGTCATCAGCGAGTTGAAGATCCAACGTCTCTGGCTTCAACCGGGCTCCGAGTCACAGGAGGCTCCCGACACGGACGGTGACCGACGGCGACCGAGCCACGAAGGATAGGGAGATTTCACCCCAGAAGCCACAAAGAATAGGGAGTTTCTAGGTGATTTACCATCTGGTTATGAGTAACAGTTTGCCATGGAAAGATCCATCATGCTATTAATAGCTAAACCATCTATTTCTATGGGTCATTTTCCATGGCTATGTTAACTATCCACAGGGTATGCTGTGAAAGGTGTAGAATGGGGGGGATTTATGGAGATTTATGTGGAATTATGAGGATTTATGTGGATTGAAAAAGCCTTGATTATTTCTGGTTGGTGGTTTCAAACATGTTTTATTTTCCATTTCATGTGTGGGATGTCATCCTTCCCATTGACGAACTCCATCAGTTTTCAAGATTGTTATTGCACCACCAAGCAGATTTAAATGGGCCACCATGAAACATATGAGGTGACGGCTAGTTGATGGGTCATTGGCTGAGTTGGTGAAAAACTGGGCACCGGGATCCGCGGGTAGCCTTCCTGGTGGGATATGCGATCTATTGACAAAATGGAATTGACTAGAAATGATCTATATAGATATATATATATATATGTGTGTATCTGGTTGGTGGTTTGGAACCATGCAATTTTATGACTTTCCATAGATTGGGAATTTCATAACCCCAACTGACGAACTCATATTTTTCAGAGGGGTAGGTATACCACCAACCAGATACATATATATATATATATACATACAATTATTTATGATTATATATGTATATATTGTTTGGTTGACTGTAAAAACACCTGCGGGGGTGTCTTTATGATGGGATTCTTGGAGAGGTCTTGCAACGAGCTGCAGAACTAGAACTAGGCGGGATGCCCCAGCGGCCCAGCGGCCCAGCAGCCCACCACCTGGTCCCAGTGGAGTCATCCCGTAACCTAAATTGGATTACCCTTTTTGGTAATTTAACAAAAAACTATGGGAAATCACCATTTAGTTCGTAGATTTTCCCATTAAAAATGGTGATTTTCCATAGTTATGTAAACGTTTACCAGAGGGTAGTTCAATGGTTTTAAAAGATGTGTAGTTCATACATCGTTCACCCCGGACCTGGGGTTATCTCACAAAACCACTCGAGTTTCAGGGGTGATTTTCCAGTTCACTGCTGTTTGAGAACGACCGAAAGTGTATCCCATGAATGATGTATTAACGTACTTCAATTCCTTTTCTTATATGATGTTTCATGATGTTTCATGTAATTATGTGACATCAGGTGAATTTCAATGTGCTATGCCAATGTTGACTTCCATGAGCGACACGAAAGTGCCGTGGCCTGTCAGGCCTCATTCATTCGGGGCCGTGCGTACTGGTCGAGCCTTGGTGAAGTTGGTGGGTCTGGGCGGCACCGAGGTGTAAAGAGCATAGGAAGATTTCCATAGTCATGGGGGTATCCCTAAACGTATGGTTTTGAAGGAAAAATCCTATTAAAATTGATGATTTAGGGATACCATTTAGCGAAACCCCTAGATTAAGCAGAAAAATAGAATGCTATGGGGATTTGTCCAATAAAACATTATGAGAACATGATAGAACCCAAACCATAGCCCGGTTTTTTGATGCGGCTGTTAGTACCAAACGGTATGTCAATGGGTCAATGGGCAATGGTGGTTTAATACTGCGTTTAGCAATTAAGTTTAGCACGTGAGTTCGTATGAACTATACGACACGCCATTTCTATGATGATATTATGAACTGTAGGGGCTAAGCGTCAATTTCACCTGTGTGACTACCAATTGACCAGATGTCCGTGACTTCATCTAGATGGGGACGAACACCTCCATGTCAAATGACTACACTACACCTCCATGTTTCCATGTTTTGATCATGTTTGCACATCCAAAGCCAGAGGTCAAAACGGAGTAGTCTAAGATGGGATGGTGGAACATGTAAAACCCTCAATTTGTCCTGCTCAAGCCCGAAAATTCGGTGTTCGTGTTCTCCCCTGGTTCATATTGTTCCTTATGTATGACCCACTATTGGTGATGAAAATTCCCATTGTTATTCATATAATCAGGATATGTCATGTATTGTTGCTTACATATCCTAAACTTATCCTATGTATATATATATATACATATACATATATATATATAATTATCCAGTATCCAGTAATGTGTATATCTAATAAAACGACCGTAGATTCTGATGTCTTTTCTCCCAAAATCGGCTCCACCAGACATCCCATGGTTTGCTCAACTCCCAGTCCAGGAGTTGGGCTTCAATCCGCAGTGGTCTCCACCACAGGTGGGCTTCAACCCATGGGTCTCCAAAAATCTATGGAACTTTAGGGTTTAGGGTAGATGGAATATAATATAATATAATATAATACAATATAATATAAAATAATATAACATAATATAATATAATTAATATATATATATATTTGTATATATTTGTATACATATATATATATATACTGTATATATATATATATACATGGGTGAATATTTGCTGGTTGAATCCGACCTGTGCCTGAAGCCCAGAAATCCAGCGGTGATTGCCAGAATTGACCCTACGAAGATTGCCCATTTGGGGGCTAATGGGTCAAGTATGTAATTATGTATAATGCTATAGGGTCCATATATATATATACAGGTGTATTTCATCATTCTTACATACTTGACCCTATTAGCATATATTGATATATGGCTTATAATAATACACCTATAATGGGTAATCATATATATATAATTATCATATACCCTACTTTTAGAACAGCACAGGGATGGGTTATGAGGCAGCTCCCATCGTTGAGGACTGATCATCACCGGAAATCCATGTTCCGATTTTTTGAGGATATCATCATGAAACAGGAAGATCTATGATGTGGGTAAAACAAGAATCAAAACAATAGTAATGTGGGTATATGTGGATATATTATAGTTTATCATCATGGTAACCCAAGATATCATCACGGAACTTGTATATAATGTGGCTATATGTGGGTAAAACAATAATCAACCGTGCCCCAAATCGCCATTTTTAAAGGTGGTATGTGACTACCATTCCCAGCCATGGGTAGTTCATGGATTGTTTTACCCACATTATAAAGATTCATCTGAGATCCACATGAAAACCTTGTGGTGTGTAGGTCAATACCCCATGTTCAAATGCACCCAAATCACATAGCCGGCTATATATCACCGATATATCCATTACATCTCAATGAAAAGGTTGGTTTTATACCCCCATTCTTGTGAGATGCCACGAATATCTCACCAGTTTGCCACCAAGATCATATTGTTGGTGATCATATTTTTGGTTAATTGTACCATATTGTACTTATGCCGGTTGATTCTCCTTCCACCCTAATTGTGTGTATCATTACATCCCTGCAATATATACCCTTTGGGTATTTAACGCTGCTGGAAAATCGCCATTTCAGAAAATGTTCGGCAAATCATCATCGAACTCACTGGGGGCCATCTCTACCATAGCTATGAAATAACCAGGTGGTATCTCAATGGGATATTCCCTTACATAGGCCTTATATAGGCCTTATATATGGTAGGTACCTCCAATTTAGGTTCCTGAGATGGCCAGTGAGTATCCCTTCCATCCTGGTATCGAGGCAGTGGCTGAGGGTGAAGCAGCTGAGGGTCGCGTGCAGTGGCGCTTAGACGAACAGCAGGCGCTTAGACGGGCCCCAGTTCGGAATCGCGTTCAGTTGGTGAATACATACTGAATGGTTACCCGGCCTGGTAAACGTGCACATAGCGAACTGGAAAATCCACCATTTTTTAGAGGTAAATCAACGAACTAAATGGTTATAAATGACCTTTTCAATAGCAAACTGTCAGTCATTACCAGAGGATCATCGCATACCCCATTCATATGGTGTCCATAAATGGGAGTACTCCGAATAGCTGGATGGTTTATTGGTGAAAAAATCATGGAAAATCGAACATAAAATGGATGATGACTGGGGATACCATCATTTAAGGAAACCCTTAGCAGTTGCACCCCCATGGTTAATGGTTTAAAAATATCCAAGTCAGATGTGATATCTTCCCCCTACATCCACCATGGTTTCCGGCTCCAAAAAATTGGAATGCCTCCAAAAAAAAACATCACCAATTGGTGACCCCATAATTTGGCTGGAAATGTAATTACCCTCCGGTAAACTAACGTAACTATGGAAAGATCCACCATTTTTAATGGGCAAATCCACGATTTCAATGTGCAATTTTCAATAGCTTGTTGTTAACGTTTACCAGGCCGGGTACCTATTTTCAAGGAGTGGAAAATGGTCAATAGTTTTCAGCCGCCTATGGTATTTTTTTAAACCCCAATTTTCACCCAGTAGATGAAAATGAAATGGGTGGAAATTGGAGGTGCTGTCTATTTAAGCGCAAGTTTGATGTGAGCATGTGTGTGTGCATAGATATATACATTGGCATAGATACGTACATTTTGGTGAGGAATATCACCGGATATAGACAACAAAAATGGGCATGGTGATATTTCATGATATCCAATGATATTTCATTAATCATCATTAACCATCATTAACCAATGCCCATTTCACCATATTTAGCCATCAAGATCATTAGATACGGAATCATTGCCCTCGCCAATTTTGACCGTGGCATGGATGGGCTATCTCCACGCCGAATTTTTGGTGTCTGGAAAGATGGCCGTTTCAAGGGTTTCACCACTTGGATGATGTTGGAAAGTCATCCCTTGTAATGCAATCCAATATCCCATGGTTATATAATGTAATCCAATACTCAATATCCAATAGATGTAATATATATATATATGTATATATGTATAATTGGTTGGCGGTTTGGAACATGGCTTCTATGACTTTCCATATATTGGGAATTTCATAACCCCAACTGACGAACTCATATTTTCAGATGGATTGAAACCACCAACCAGTAGCTGTGGAAAGTTCATCATTCCAAAAAAAAGTCAAAATCCAGCAAATTTCTATTTGTATCACCATGTTCCAAGCAAAAGTCCCCTTAAAAATTCCCTAATGTCAACCCGTCGTTTGCAAATCATCATGATAATCACATAGCGAATATAGCAATAGCAACCATCAACATTATTATTATGCATCATTATTTTCATCATAGTAATCATAAAGTCACAAAATTCATAAGATGAAGTAATTCAAAGACGATACGAATCATGATTCAAGTAACAATAATGGTAACAAACATGATGATGATAACATGGTGAATATAGTAATAGTAATAGTAATAATAGTAATAGTAATAGTAATAGGAATAGCAATAGTAATAGTAATAGTAATACTAACAGTAATAGTAATAGTAATCGTAATAGTAATAGTAATAGTAATAGCACTAGTAATAGTAATAGTAATACTAACAGTAATAGTAATCGTAATAGTAATAGTAATAGTAAGAATGCTATGAATAGTAATAGTTATTGGCAATTCCCTTTCCATGGTGGAATAAACTAGACATAAAATCACTACATAGTCGTAAAAGCATCATTAATATCCACAATCATAACGGTAATCAAATTGATAATAACAATCATAGTTGCTTAGTTAGTAATCATGATAACAAACTATTTTTCGGTAATCATATCTCTCATCATTATAACAAGCTTTTTTTCTGGTTAAGGATATCCCTAGATTCGGCCCTCTATTCCTGGTGGATTCAGGTCTTCACCTTGACCCTGTCGTCCCCGAAGACGCGCAATGCCTTGAGCCGACCAGTCTGGAGACCGAGCCGGCCGCTGGCTGAGTTGTGGATCCGAGATGGGTCATGGCTATGGCTAATGGTGAGTAATCTAATGGTAATAGTAATTAATAATGGTTAATAATGGATTATAATGGATAATAATAAAGGATATTACAAAATATAATATTGATATCTGGTTGGCGGTTTGGAACCATGGAATTTTATGACTTTCCATATATTGGGAATATAATGATCCCAATTGACTAATATGTGGTTACCATCTGGTTATTTGTTACATAGCCATGGAACATCACCATGCTATTCATAGGTAAACCATCGAACTAAATGGGCTATTTTCCATGGCTATGCTAAATAACCAGAGGGTATAATTAATGGTTAATGGTGAATAATTTTCATGGTTAGTGGTTAATGACAATAATTAATTGTGGATCCGAGATGGGCTCTAGAACTTTACACAGGATGGGGCCCCCGTTCGATAGCGTTCAGTTGCCTGAAAAAAGTTGCTGAATTCTATGGTTTATGGTAGATATAACGAACTAGTTAATGGGGGTTATAGTTTTAACGGTGGTTTAATGGTGGATAATCAATGGTTCATTATGGTTGATTATAGTGATTATGGTTAAATGGCTAATCTAGGCCAATCTTAGATGGCTAGAAACTCATCCAAAATAGTCTTTTGGTATGCGATTCTCTACTAACTAACCAGCTAAGATGTTTTCATTTTTTGCGGGGTATCTAAGATTGGCCATGGTGTATGTGTGTACATATATTGCAGCGCTTCGCGCACCGGCGATACCCCAAGGGTTGTGGTTGTTGCCCAGGCCCAGAATGTCGCCCGCTTGCTTTGTTGTCATTTTACAACCATCTGACTACACAGCATTTTTTGTCATTCTTGTAGTAGCCAAAAAATCGTCAAATAGGTTGTGTTTGCACGGTTATTTGAGACTCTCGGGGCACAAAACACCGTAAATACCATTTTTGTTGGGCGCCTCGGAAGCCAAAAAACATGGTATTAACGATGTTTTCTGCCCTTAAGCGAGGAAGAAAGAGCGGCAAGGCCCGGGTTAGCAGAACCAAAGACCTTAATTAACATCGGATTAACATCATTACCTTCAAAAACCAGTATAGTATACTATACTATACTAACATCATACAGTATATAACATCCTCAACAACCTCAGCTGGAAGCAGCCGATTTCCAAAGGTGAAGGCCTTCAAAAAGCGACGAGCTGGCCGCAATGAAGTATGGGCGGTGAAGGCCCCTCAGGTGCGGTGGTCGAAAGTCCACGGACGTCCTGTGCTGCCCCAGGCCTCGGCAGGATGCGGCCCATCCTGGCCGCCCTCCAGGACTGATCCGCAGCGGTCATGTTGCAGCAGTAGCCCAGCAGCCGCGTATGTTTTCTAGCAGGAATGACAAAGAAATTGGAACTGCCATGTCATGTCGGAAAATAAAACATCGGAGCACTTTCGATCACCCCCTGAATCCAAAAAAACACTTTCTATAACCTTTCAGCTTCTCTCTGGGCCACGTTTGGTCAGGCTACATCCAAACAGTGGGCCAGTGAAAGTCACAAATGCTGGCCTCGTGCATGTTGCCCCTTGTGTCGTATCCCTCTTCTCTGACGCGCTCCCCCTGCTGTTGGCTGGGGTCGGCGGATATATATATATATATATGTGTGTGTAAATATATATATATATACACACTATATATATATATATTATGTGTGTGTATACATTTACATGTACATGTACATGTACATATATATATATATTTAAATAAACATATATATATATGTATGTATTTATATATATACGTGTATGTGTGTATATATATATATTTAAATACATAGAGAGAGAGAGCAAGAAAAAAACGATAAATATATATAGAGAGAGAGAGATACTGTTATATGTATGTGTATATATATATATTGATTTCTGCAGATCTTTTGGTGTGCATATGATGGACCATTTGGTTGGATTACGACGAACTTTTTTAAGTGGAACGAAGAATCGGTGGAAAAGAACCACCCATTTCCACCACCATACATCCACCTTGCTGAGCCGTTGAGGGTGCCCACATGCACAGGGTTATCATCTACCGTGAAAGATATGTGACATATTGTTTGAACATACTACATGCAGATATATAGGATATTATAGTATAATAGTGTACATATTATGTGCATATATATATATTTATATTTATATTTATATTTATTTATATATATATATACTTATGCAGTCATTATTTTTTCCCTCTGCGCATTTCATTCCGTCACCTTTTTTTTTCTCCACGAAAAACGGCCGGCCTTGGTCGGGCGCAGGTCCTGGATGCTTTGCAGCAGATCCTGAGCGATTTGCCACGCACCACTCGAGTTCTACTGCTCCAGTCGCAGGCCCCGGCGGAATGGATTTGACGGTGGGGATGTTGATATTTCATGGAGATGTTATGGGGATAAGAGATAGTGGGATATGATCGGATATCATCGGATGCAACAATTAAAAGATCGGGATGTGAATGGTTGGTGGAAGCAAAAAACGTGAATTTAACCATCAAACATGCTGACTGAACTATGAAAAATGCTGTTTTGACCATGCTTGCCCAAGAAAAATGGTGATTTCCAACTCCGTTTGGGTCTTAAAATGGGCGACAGAAACTTCCAACGGATCATCATTAGTTTATCCATTCGAACTCCCAATTAATCAATTAGTGGGTATGAGGAAATGGGGTTTCATCCAAGAATGGATTGTTTAAGCAGCTGAAATCAGGGGTATCACGGTCTAACCTGACCATTTTGGGGATACAATAGGAATATTTCATGGCATAAACGAGTAGGGGATATCCTTGCTGTGACGGATACTATCCCCTCCTAGTTTGTAGATTTCTAAATGGCTCAAAGATGTTCAAAGTAAAACCAACAAAAATGCGTGAGCAGATCAGTATAAGTGTGTAATCCATGGTAATCCCATGTACCCTCTGGTAATCAAACATGGCACTGGACAAGGATGGCAATGGAAGAGTGCATCATTTTTGGTTGGCAGCATGTCTTCAATGCTTCTTACGACCTCAATAGATGGCTGTGTGATGTGGGAAGTGCAAGCATGGCGACATATCTAACATCAGATGTCATATCAAGTGGACCATTGATTTCTTTTGGGGTGTCTCAAGTTCACAGGTTTGGCATATCTGGCAGATCGGTACAACCGGATAAGTTTCATCCAAGTTCAATGACCGATGAACGAACCGTCCTGAGCTTGGAATTTCAAATGTCTCTCACTGCGTGAAAGGTTTTCTTAATGTTTTTATCCAACCTACACTGTTTGTTACAGTCATTGCTTGTGAAATATGTGCAGAAAGTTCCTCGCGGGATTGCAAATTGTGTGCCTCAGCGCAGTTGTGAGGGGGTTTGGACGTACACACGTTGACATGCTGCGTAGCATCCATTCAACTACAACCTTTCTGCATAAAAGGTTTGTGGCAGAAGGCAACATAACTTGGCAGAGTACTATACTATATGCACAATATCCCCACTTACAGCACACTATTACAGTACACTAGTATAGATGACTGGTTGGTGGTTTCAAACATTTTTTATTTTCCATAATATATGGGATAATCCTTCCCATTGACTAGTATTTTTCAAGATGGTTAAAACCACCAACCAGATGATGTTTGCATGTAACACCTCCATGTATCAGGATTTCTCATATTTGATTACTGGAGGGTAATCCCAATCTCATCAAATCCAAATGTTCATCACTTAAGATCCCATAAGATCCTGATGTTCATTCAACATCCAGAATATCCAGATAAAATTCTGTTAAAATCCCTTAAAATCCATCAGAATCAGATGGAGACCTCATGTTGATCATTTAAAAACCAATAAAAATCACATAAAAAATTCCCAAGGTTCAAGTAAAACTTCATCGAATCTCAGAAAAAAAAACTCAATAAAATTCCCGAAAGAAACCATTGAAACCCCCAAAAATGATGGATGTTCACCACTTCAACTCTCAAAATCCCATGAGAAATCCCTACTTTTCTCAAAATTCTACAAAAAGAAACCTAGAAAATTCCATGAAAATCTATGGAAATCCCACGAAAATCCCATAGAATCCCTCCATTTTCCCCGGGGAAACCGGTTTCAGGGCTCGGTCTTCAGCTCGGGCCACGACTTCGGCGACTTCGACGAGGCGTTAGGCACAGAGACGCACCGAAGAACGCTGAAGCTCTGCTCCCAGGCGTCGGGGATGAAGGAAGTGGAGAATTCATCAGTGGTAATGATAGTTATTGTAGGTGTAATCATCATAATAGTGATAGTAATGATTTGATGATGATGATGATGATGATAAGGTAGCAATAACAATAATGATAGTTATAACCCTTGGCGTATAAAAATGATAGTTGTAATAATGATAGTTATTGTACAATAAACCGCGGGTTGGTAATATTAAAACTATCATATTTACCACTCATTGTGCTATTACCAATGGCAGTAGAGAATAATGATAGTTATGGTAGCTGTAATAACGATGATAATCAAAATCATTATAACAATAAAGTATTAATAATAGTAATAATGCGGTCATGCAGATAATAATGTAGTAATGTAGATAATAATGTAGTAATAGATAATCGATTACAATAATATTTCAATATATAGTGAATGATATTGGATTATGAGACATGCTTAACTGATTAAGTACCAATAGAACCAATAACAAATAGTTACTAATCAATAACAATATCATCAATAACTGTATATGTGTTATTAGGATAGTGTTATTTTTACAAAAACGGATGTTTTATCATCAACTACTGTATATCGCATTAAGTGTCAAATTAGTTATAAAATTTAGGGGAAGTCAAGAGTAGTCCCGAACTACTATGAAAAATCATAGATAGATTACCTTCTTAGCCATTGAAGATATCATAAAATATCCATAAGTTCATAGTCCCATTACTATTAACCATAGAATATCCATAGCCATGGGACCTTTCCCATCCACTGCCCCAGGTGAACATGTTGCTACAGCAGATTCCGCAGCCCACCATTGCCGTGGTCGCTTGGCGAGTTGTGATCGAAATTGCGGCAGTTCTACCATGGTTTAACTATCTTGAAATACAAAAGGAACTTCAAGATAGTTAGTATTGTGAATCATAAATGATATACATATATATTATATAAAAATTATATATATATATATGATATATATTTTTTTATATCATATATATGATATATATGATAGCCAATCTCCTGAAATTTGGCCGATCTACAACCTGAAATCGCCTGGCATTTCGGCACCGGCTGGAAAAGGATTCTGAATTCAACCAAAAAGACGTGTTGTGTTTGGCGCCCAGGATTGGGCACATCTGTGCTAAGATTGGGATACATCTCAAGTATATACATATACAGTGTGTTAGTTGTTTTATATTTATATATGTATTTTTTGTATCATATATATATAATTTAAGCCATGAAAAACAAACCGTGGTTCTATTCGTGGTTTTCCAGTTCTGAAAGTCACACAGAAGTGGCTCCGGCTGAGGTTCAGGGCTTGGCCACGGCAGCTGGATGTCAACTCGCGTGTTCCTGTGCACTGGCGACCTATTGCGGGGGTTTTCATGCGGATAGATGTTATAATATTTTTATATATATATATATAATGGAGAGAGATGTTATTGCATATTTATCCTCTAAACTTGAATTTTTAGCCTACTTGGAAGTGCAGTTCCAGTTAGTGGATACATTACATTCAGGCGAAGCTGAGAAGTTTATAGCCATGGTGAGCTACCCATGGTGATACCTCGACTGCAACCCCAAGGATTATGGGGACAGATCATTAAATATATTCTATATTGGTGATAGAAGATAACTGTTAAATCTTGATATGATTATAATGTTATCAGAGTGTAAATTTCACGGGATGTTCTAATAGTATTACGCAAATTCGCTGAAGAATATATTGGTGAATGATTCTTATGGGTATAGGAAGGATAATTGAATATATGTAGATTACATCATGGCATCCATGCATCATCAACCAACTGAGAAATAGTGGATATGGTCATAGTAAGGATAATTGATAAAAAAATGGATTCGATATTTAATAGGATACAATACCATCATCAACCCATTGGGTTTTTCCAAACTGCAGATGATGTAAGGATATAATAGAAGGGTTGAAGCAATATAGTGTGGATGTGATTGGGGATTTGACTCCCGTGGCATATATGATAGATAATGGGGTTTCAATCACATAATGGAGATCTAAGATACTTTTTAAACCCTGGTTGATCAAGCATTTAATCCGGTTCACATGACCTAGCCTTCATTTCTGTGGCGTTTGACCATCGGAAATATGAGGATGCGATTGATAAATGATGCGTTGCTGGTGACGATGTTCATTTTAGAGTGATTGAACGGGGACATATTAGAGAGATTGTACAGGGATATGGGAGACTGTATACATAATCAGCAATGTCAAAAGCCACGGCCTTGGTTTTGATTTTGGGTATGAACATTAATGTTTATAAGCGTTTGTCCTGAAATTATTGTTATGTCAATGGTTGAAACAGCCATTTAATGCTGATTTAAGCATGATTAGCAATGGGTGTTTGAAAGCAACAAGCACCCGGGAATATCTCTAATAAATGATTGTTGGTTGATGATGATAGGGCTTTATATACTCACCGTAAAGATGGTATCCTCGATATCGTCGGATTTCATTTCAGCAAGTTGATGCGTTCACCGATATCCTGGAGGAGCTCCACCAAATGGAGCGGTCAATGACACCCACCTTCGGAGTTCTCAGGGGGAAGTTTCAACCAACAGGTGAGTGTGGGGTTTTCAGTGGCAAATATATTCCCCAGTGATTTATCCCATGTAATCAGGGTTGAACCAATGCTATCCCCAGTGGTTCATCCCCTCTTATGGTGGATAGCTCCGAGGACTTGCTTTCTCACCAGGATTTTCGAACCACTTTCTCCGTGGTTTGAAACCACCAACCAGTCCGTCACAAATTGAAGGCATCATGAATCATGAATCACCAGCAGCATACCAGCAGCATAACTATTTTTGATATTGTCAAATTGTTATGCGTATAGATAGATAGATAGATAGATAGATAGATAGACAGATAGACAGATAGACAGATAGACAGATAGACAGATAGAGATAGATAGATAGATAGACAGGTAGATAGATAGATAGATAGATAGACAGATAGATAGACAGATATGACCATTGGTCAAAAATAGTTGTTTAGAAGTTTAGTATTGGTTGTTGATAATTCATCTGGGTTTACTGTTTTTTCCTCTTCGTTATGAGGCGGCACGCAACTAAATTCGGCAATTCTGCAAGGCAGCGCTAGCAAACCCGCTAGGTTTGCGCTAGCTTTGATTGACAGCCATGGCCTCCATGTCGTGAATGTCTTGCCAGCTTTTCTTACAAGTCTGTCAGTTTCCACATATTCCCAAATTTTCGATTTTTTTTACGTATTTTACGCGCTAGATCGCCGCTAGCAATGCGCTAGTGAAAATTGCAAATACATGCCCCGGTCCACCCGCAACCCATTCAGAGGCACAGCCATGTTCACGCTTTGGTAGCTTACAGTAAGGAAACAGCGTTGATCAGGAGGCATGTCAAGAAGCATATTGCATTCAGAGAGGCACACACACACAGAGACACACAGTTCAGGAGATAGTACCAGCGACAGCGAATGAAAACCGACGTGCGTTAGCCGATTCCTGTGGTTTTAGAAAAAATTTCAAAGGTAACGAAGAATTTCCACGTTTTCACCTCATCAAGGTAGGTCATGTTTTTTAAAGGCAAACATGAGGCGGCACGCATGGAATTGCGATTTATCAACAAAACCGGGAACAGACATTTTGACAAACCGTCATATAGATAGACAGATATAGATAGATAGATAGATAGACAGATAGACAGATAGACAGATGTAGATAGATAGATAGATAGATAGATAGATAGATGATAAGATTAGATCAGATTAGATCAGATTAGATTAGATTAGATCAGATCAGATTAGATCAGATTAGATCAGATTAGATCAGATTAGATCAGATTAGATCAGATTAGATTAGATTAGATCAGATTAGATCAGATTAGATCAGATTAGATCAGATTAGATCAGATTACATCAGATTAGATTAGATTAGATCAGATTAGATCAGATTAGATCAGATTAGATCAGATTAGATCAGATTAGATCAGATTGGATAAGATTAGATCAGATTAGATCAGATTGGATAAGATTAGACAAGATTAGATAAGATTAGATAAGATTAGATCAGATTAGATAAGACTAGGTAAGATTAGATAAGACTAGGTAAGATTAGGTAAGATTAGGTAAGATAAGATCAGATGAGATCAGATGAGATCAGATGAGATCAGATTAGGTCAGATTAGATCAGATTAGATCAGATTAGATCAGATTAGGTCAGGTTAGATCAGATTGGATCAGATTGGGTCAGATTAGATCAGATTAGATCAGATTAGATCAGGTTAGATCAGATTGGATCAGATTAAATCAGATTAGATCAGATTGGATAAGATTAGATCAGATTAGATCAGATTGGATAAGATTAGATAAGATTAGAAAAGATTAGATAAGATTAGATAAGATTAGATAAGATTAGGTAAGATTAGATAAGACTAGGTAAGACTAGGTAAGATTAGGTAAGATTAGGTAAGGTTAGGTAAGATTAGGTAAGATTAGATCAGATGACATCAGATGAGATCAGATGAGATCAGATGAGATCAGATTAGATCAGATTAGATCAGGTTAGATCAGATTGGATCAGATTAGATCAGATTGGATCAGATTAGATCAGATTAGATAAGATTAGGTAAGATTAGATCAGATTAGATCAGATTAGATCAGATTAGATCAGATTAGATCAGATTAGATCAGATTAGATCAGATTGGATAAGATTAGATCAGATTAGATCAGATTGGATAAGATTAGATAAGATTAGATAAGACTAGGTAAGATTAGATAAGACTAGGTAAGATTAGGTAAGATTAGGTAAGATAAGATCAGATGAGATCAGATGAGATCAGATGAGATCAGATTAGGTCAGATTAGATCAGATTAGATCAGATTAGATCAGATTAGGTCAGGTTAGATCAGATTAGATCAGGTTAGATCAGATTAGATCAGATTAGATCAGATTAGATCAGATTAGATCAGATTGGATAAGATTAGATCAGATGAGATCAGATTAGATCAGATTAGATCAGATTAGATCAGATTAGATCAGATTAGATTAGATTAGATCAGATTAGATCAGATTAGATAAGATTAGGTAAGATTAGATAAGACTAGGTAAGATTAGGTAAGATTGGATCAGATTAGATCAGGTTAGATCAGATTGGATCAGATTAGATCAGATTAGATCAGATTAGATCAGGTTAGATCAGATTAGATCAGATTAGATCAGATTAGATCAGATTAGATCAGATTAGATCAGATTAGATCAGGTTAGATCAGATTGGATCAGATTAGATCAGATTAGATCAGATTAGATCAGGTTAGATCAGATTGGATCAGATTAGATCAGATCAGATAGATAGATAGTTGTCACTATAGTTCTTTTTTTGATCATTGCCTGCCTCAAAAAAATGACTGATTCTCTGGCACCCGCCCCCCTCGAAGGCGATTTGGTTTTGGCCGCCGACAGCGCTGCCTTTCAACTGCCCGGCGCTGCCAATGGCGGCTTCTGTCCCTCGGCGTGCCAAGTGGCGAAGAATGGTGTGAAACCCGAAGAAATTCAGATATACAACCAACACAGCGGTATCATGGCATATGCTTTAACCATGTTTTAACCATGATAAGCCATATTTAACCATGGTTTAACCCATGTTTTAATCCATATTTTGGTGGAAAGATGGTGCCAGCTCCCTAAGTTGGGATAGCCGCTACTGTGCGATGAGAGTTTTGCCACGTGTTGAATTGCACCAGTTATTATGGGATATGATCTGGATTTACCCTTCAACCGAGGTTTGGTATGAAAGATGGTCGTTTTTTTCACCCGTTCTATGTTCATGAATGTTGGGAATATATTATTCAGATGTAAGTGGGATATCATGGCCCATATATGACCAACAATATGTTGCCATCCCTTTATAACTTGCTTATGTCCGCCCATGTTTGTAGGATACTCATGTTTTTGCATCACACCAAAATGGGTTTTCTTTCCTCTGAGAATCGAACATGGCTAGCTATGGAGGTGTGGGAAAATCATGGAACTACCCTCTGGTAATGACTGACAGTTTGCTATTGAAAATGGCCAATAGAAATAGTTGATTTACCTACTAAAGATTGTGATTTGTATAGTTATGTTAGTTTACCAGAGGGTACATAGTGGATTTTCCATTTCCATGTTTGATTACCACAAGGTAACGGATATACAGCCAACAATATGATTCCTCGACGGGTAGTCAAATGTGGGGTATATAACCTATAAAATGGAACTATAGTCAAATAATCAATCAAATGGTAGTTTCTAGAATATGGCCAAAAATAGAAAATGCATATACGGATGAAGATTACCACTAGTCAAATGAGATGTTTGGGGACTATAGCCAAGACTAGTGATGTGTCTGGTGGTATCGAATAGTTGCTATTTGCCGTTTGGAATGATGACCCCCCATTTTTTTCCCAGCAGATAAAGGTTGAAACCAACACATGGGGGCGGCTGCCTGGGCTTGTCACAAAATGTGAGAAAACCAAAAACAGGAAGGGGCCTGTAGCTAGGGAAGTTGGACTGCAACTATACCAGCCAAGATTTATGGTGGATATGTCCATTGTTAGATCGAACTATAAACCAATTCGTAGGTGCAGCCCTTCCCCCAATCTACGACCACTAGCAGGGGAAGCTGATGAACCGTGGGGTTTATGGGGTATACCCTAGAAATATCTACTTGGGGCGCAGTTGAGGTTACAAATAGGTAAAACCATGGCTATAAACCCCCAGAAGCTGGGATATAACCCCTACAACTGCGATTATTTGTTCCTATGTATGTATACATACATACATACATACATATATATATATATAGATATAGATATGACTGGATTCCAAGTATGGTTTGTTGACCACTGGCAATGCCGGGGATGCCTGCGTGGCTTTTTGTGGAGGTCATACTCCAGCAGTGTCATTGGGCATGCGGGTGCCTCCAAACCTCGTGGCAGAGATGGCTTTCTTGGCTGAGAAGGCGCATCTTGGCTGGGGGGTGACCCCATCGGTGTTCAAGCAATGGCAGACAGGGAGCAGCAGGTGACTCTATAAAATTGGGGTGACCCCATTCAAGCACCATAAAATTGTTCAGTTTTGCAAAATCCCGCACAAAGCACATGAAACAGATGTCGTTAGATGTTTCATGGTATTTCACATGCCTCCAGCAGCACTTAGGAAACATTTCAAGACCAGCAAGATCTAGCAAACCTGAGCAAGCGTTTGTGCCTGTGGTTACTGCAGTGTTGTAAATCTACTAAAAGCAGTTGCAGCTACTGATTTGTACAATCAATGCGAATATTTGCAACAGCAACATGTTCTCACATTGCTTTCTTTTTCAATCTACATCAATACTTTTGCGTGAAGTCAGCAGAAACATGCGGATGCTGTGCATCAAAGATGTCAGGAAAAATGCAATGAAACAATCTAGACATATGTGTTCACTTTATGTACTTGTTTTAACACATTCATCCATCTATCTATTGTTATTCAATCTGATTCCCATCCATTTGCAGATCGTATCTATGCACCGCCGCAAAGGCGGGACTTGGTCATCAGGCTTAAGCACTTACGATTTGTGTGATGATCCTCCAAGAACTCCCATCCCCCCGATATTTTACCCACTATTTCCAATATTATTTATATATATGTATATATGTATACATATATATATATATACATATGTGTATATATATACATATGTATAGATATATATATATATATATAGGTCAATACCCCATGTTCAAACGCACCCAAATCAAATTGCCGGCTATATATCACCTATATACCCATATTTCTCAATGAAATGGTTGGTTTTTGTACCCCCATTCTTGTGAGATGTCACGAATATATCAACAGTTTGCCACCCAGATCATATTGTTGGTGATCATATTCTTGGTTAATTGCACTTATGCCGTTTGATTCTCCTTCCACCCCAATTGTGTGTATCCCCCTTACATCCCTGCTATATACCTACCCTTTGGGTCAACGCAGCGAGCTGGAAAATCGCCAGTTCATCATGTTCAACAGGTAATTCAAGAATCATACTATGGATGAGCTATGTCCACAACAGGAGGGATACCACCATAATATTCATCGAAGGAAGTTTGGAAGTCAAACTTCCGACAATATGGAGAGATGAAAAAGCAGTCAGCAGGGAGAAGAGTCAGAA